AGAGACACTCCTTTTCCTATTTTCTGAATGAATTTGCTCTTTTTTTAATAAGATCTTATATCTTTCCCCAAACTCATCCTGTTATCCTTCTTTAACTCTCGCTCTATTAGTCTAAGTACCTAACTTTCTTAATTTTACAGCTCTTCAATCCCCAAATACAATTGTTAATCCTGTTCTTGTTTTGCTATTCGTCTGTCTCTCTCTGTTCACAATGGAGTATATATATATTGCAGACATATGCATTCATTCCAGGCAAGGATTTACTGTTTACTGTTTATTAAATTTATAGGCCGCCCAATCCCGAGGGACTCAGGCAGCTTACAGAAACAAAAATATTAAGGAAGATTAAAAACGAATAAAACACAACAGATTTAAAAAAGACACAACATGCACTCAGTCTAAGTGGGGCTGGACCTCAATCCAGAGGTCAACAGCCCCAGGCCTGCCGGAAAAGCCAGGTTTTTTTGATAGCTTTTCGGAAGGCCATGAGAGTGGGTAGGGTCCGGATCTCTGGGGGTAGCTCATTCCATAGGGCCAGAGCAGCAACAGAGAAGGCCCTACTCCGAGGTGTCGCCAGCCGGCATTGTCCAGCTGATGGCACCTGGAGAAGGCCCATCCTGTGCGATCTTATCGGTCTTAGGGAGGCGTGTGGCAGAAGACGGTTTCGAAGATATCCAGGTCCTAAGCCACCTGACACAGAACATTCTGAAGTTTGTGGAACACTTCACCTGGTTGTCAGGAGGCATCTAATCAGGCACACACTGCCTTGTACACATACATGTAGATGTGCCACTGTGATTTAACAAGCGCGTTGCTGTTTAGTAAGTGAAATGCCACTGTGGATCTCCTCTCTGAAATTGTGAAACCCCTGCAACCACTCAAAGGCTTGGCGCGATCCCTTCGGACTTTTGGGCACGCCTGTCCCCAGTTCTACAAAGTTTCTATTTCATCACAGTGTTGTCACGCTGTTGCGTGGCTATTAAGAATCAAACCAGCTTGTAAACAAATGGCTCCTTTTCCACAGATTTTCTCAGCAATATAATACGTTGCATATATGGAGAAAGACAAATTCAGTTTGAAAACAATTATCAGCTATTCCCAAGTGATGTTGTTGATGCAGGTAAGAAAAATACATTGCAGATTTGAAAAGAAAAGAACAGGTGACTTAAGCTATGTTGGCCTACAAAATGAGTGTTCCACAGAGCCAGTTAGATGCTGTGGTTTTCTAAAACATTCAGGATTCTTCGTTAAACTTTGGTCAAAGCTTTAGCAGGAAAATACTATGTGATGCCCTAAAAAGTAAAGTTTCCAAACTTTCAAACTTTTTTTTCATGTTATATTTTTTTTGCTTCAGCGACTGTATTCTAAACTAGAATTCAAAATTGTGCTGTGCTAGTCAAACAGATGTGTTTTTAATAAATTTGCACACTACTGAATGCTACAGTATAATGATTAATTAGGAAGAATTTGGGATATTATTTAATCATTCACAAGATGTTAAGATCTGGAGTGTTTTTACCTTGGAGATCTTTTTTACTTAGTACTGTTTGCTGGAATATTATTATGATCTGCAAGCGGATGCTGGTGACTTCTTCCAGCACAGTATTTTTAATATTGAAATATTCATTAATAAGACCTGACTGGATTCTAACTAAGTTCATGTTTTAAAAAAGAGATTAATGGGAAGAGTTTCTTACATATCTATAAAATGCTTTCTCAGAGATATCAGTGAGTTCCGTTTGGTTTGTGGATTTTGACTGCCATCTTGTGGTCACATAAAATTGCTCCCTGAGGTACTGGCTGTTTCACTTTGAATATACTGCACATTTTGAATATATTGTACATATGCATTGATACATACACACACACACACACACACACACACACACACCTCTATCTCTAGCTCTATCTTTATCTTTATCTATC